GGTGTGGCACCCGCCGGCCAAGGGGGGCCGGAGGAAGTCGCCGCTCACCACGGGTGGGGGGCTGCGGCGGGGGTCGGGCCGGTGACCCCCCGCGGGTCCCGCCAGCCCGCCGCGCCGCTTCCCGGCTCCCCGTCCCCGCCTCGTTTCCCCGTTTCCCCCAGTCGTAGACCTGCACGGTCGGCAGGAGTACGCTGAGGGAATCGGTGCTGGTAGCGTGAAGTAGAGCCGTTATTACAGTGGTAAAACTGTGAAGTAGGACTGTAATTACAGTGGTAAAACTGCGAAATAGAAACTCGGGGTAGATAAAAGGTCTAGGTCGGTGTTTTCTTCTTTGATAACTTTTTAAAAGGCAACGCGCTCTCGGTGAGCGTGGGCAGATGTGTGCTTTGCCGTGTAAATCACGCTGACTTCGGGTCTTGGACAGCAAAGCCACTTGGTGCATAGAGCGCTCAGGCTGCGTAAGGCAGCAGCCGGGTTTCCCCCTTAGCAGCACATCGGTAGCCATCAGCCCTCAGCCGCGCTGCCCGGCCAGGCAGGCAGGAGTCCGTCAGCCTTGGGCTTGCCCGGGAGTTGGCTGAAGAGCAGGAATGCTCTCCTGTCCATAGAACAGAGTGTGGTGAAGATCAGGTCTCGTGTAATTAAGTCCTCTCACGGCCTTTAAGGAGTGCCTTTGTGTAGTTACTTAGGGATGTAGTCGCCAGTAATGCCTGTGGAAGGACCTTAATTAGCATTGCTGTTCTCAGGTTTCCCTCAGAAATCCTTGTAGCTAGCTAATACGTACACATTAATCATGCATTCGTAAGGTGTATGATGAACTTGGCTTGATGTTGTTTCCCTAAACGCTTCTCTAATTACACAGTTGTAATAGAAAGGATTAAGCGTTTTCTAAGTTAGTTTGAGAGAGAGAGAGAGATGACGATTTATATATGATAGTCTGTCTTGTGTTCAAGTTTATTATGCAATGAACCTAAATATTATTTAGTTTTATTAGTGCTGCTAATTATAACAAATTGTCACTTTGCAGAATAAAGTTTGTAACCTTTTTGGAATTTACATAACCGTTCCCATTTTGCAACTGAAAAAAAAAAAAATCCGAAGGCACCTTTCTGTCCAGACATACAGAAGAATAGCAGTGATCCCTTTCCATTTATTTAGGCCCTCCAGATGAAGAGCCTGAAGTCTGAACAAATGTTTTGGAATGATTGTTGAAACACCACAGGTACAACAGGAAATCTGTGCATTTTACAAGGAACACTAACAAAATGAGGAGAAAGAGGATCATGGTTATCTTTAAAAATATATTACATTTTGGACTGAGGTAACCTATTTAATATGTCAATTACATTTTGCTATCTGAGAAACTTGACAAATCTGTTATGAAGAGAGGACCTTATTCCCATTTGGCAAATCAAAACTGGATCTACTGATTTGATCTGCACGTGTAGTCTTTGTGATTTCACAAAGTCCTGAAAAATCAGTGCTTTGTCATGTATATGTTTAAAAAAAAAAAAGTGACCGATGAACCAGAATACAGGATTGGAATCTGCTGGGTTTAGCAAGTCATAAATCAGTGTAGGTCCTTTATGAATAAGTACCAGTGAAGTTAGCAGCAAGATATGCCATATTAGTAATGCTTTAAATGTTGCCGCAAAACACCAAGGAATTAATGACGTGGTTTTGTGCTCATCTAAAATAACTATTTATTTTCCAACTAGTTATTCATTTCACTTGTTGAGGCAAAAAGCTTGGTAATTTCTTTGCTGACAATACAATTAAAAATTATTCTAAATCAACAACCATCGAAATAACTTCGCTTTGTGTGATGAAATTGCATCAAACTAGAAGTTTAATTCTGATTAGAGGTAAGACATTTTGCCCCTTGCGCTACTCGTTAAAATAAACACCCTAGTAGAATTTCAGTGTAGCTTAGTGTTTCCCTGTTCATGCACGTACTGTAGTTACTGGAAATCTGAGCAAAGTTATGTTGGTATATTATAATCTTTTTTTTTTTTTTTTTTGTGTCCGTAAAGCTGAATTACAGATTGCTGAAGCCGTTGCTCTTGTAGATACCCTTCAGAACTGGACAGTTTTAGATAAAATAATTATTCCTACAAAAAATCCTGACAAGAAGTTTATTTTTGGCAAAGGAAACTTTCAGGTTTTGACAGGTAAGGACTGAGATTTTTCAGCACTGCATCATTCTAAATGGAAGACTTCTGCAGCTTGAACTGTTTAAGGATAGGTATGAAAGCTGAAGAGAGAGAGAATTTTGTTTGTCCATCATGCAGGTTTGCAAACAAACTTTGAAGAATTTTTTTTTAAGGCTACAAAAGCAACACAGAATAGAAATAACCCATGTGCACTGAAAATGTGTGAGGCAACTTAATCCCTGCATTTATGTGATTGACATAAGTGAAACTGGCAACTGTTTTACATAGTACTAAATCAGTGCAAAATACAACTGGTTTGTGAACAAAGAATATGATGCCATTTGATATTTTATGAGCATTCTGCTCAGTGCAAAATGGTTTTATATTCTGTATATTTTAAAAAGACAATTGACATTTAACACTGTATTTTGTAATGGTTATCCATCTTTTAGAAAAGATTAAAAAATTGCCCCATGTGACAGCTGTCTTCTTGAATGTGGAAAGAATATCTTCACTAACAAAGGTAATTAAATATATCAAATCATATTCTTTACATCGGTATTTTTCGGAAGCTATTGACGTTATGAGAAGTAGGATCAGTTATGACTCTGAATTTGCAAATGGTAATATGTGAAGCCACCTGGACTGAGTTTTGTTGAAAGAAAACTTAATTCTTATTGCATTTGTCCAGTTGATATGTGTTTCCAGCTCTCGTGCCTGAAATTTTCCAGCAGCCTAATAGGCGTTTAGTATAGACTCTGCTCCCGCATTTGCCACTGGCTCTACTTAAAATGTGGGAAAAGTTACTCAAGGTCTTTTTCACAAAATGGAGGTGATAATAAAAGCTGCATTATGAAGAATGTCAACATTTTAGATTAGCTATACACACAAGTTTCTATACCTATATGGATAGTGTATTTATTTTCCTATAGTTCTGTGGATGCTGTATTGTATTTTGAATATCAGGTGTAAATTCAGAGCCAGCTTATATTTGGATGTTTCAAATATTTAAACTTTCATTCCTAACCCTTAAAAAGAAACCGTATTTTAAATGGACAAATTATGTTGAGGGGAGGAGCATGCTTCACTTTTTTTAACAGCAGTAAAACAACTGGTGCATGAACTATAGATGCTCTTTGAAATGCTTAGACAAACTGAAATAAATACTTCTTAGTTTTTTTGCATGTACACCATCATGCTGGGTGTAAAGTGCATGCAAACTCTGCAAGCAAACATTAATGTTTTGCTGGTAGTTTTGAATGCTTTCACTGATTATAAAATGAACAGAGATGGTAAATATCTCTAACAGATAGTTACCTCGAGCATTTCAATTTATTGATGAAATGGAAGTTGAAAATGTTTAATTTCAATTTCCTAGTTTTTATTCCCTACTTTTAGTACTAGATTTGCTAAAAAAATCTTCACAAATCTAGATCTTAAGAGCAATTTGACAGGGTTGATTCAAGGAAGTGTTTGGGAACATGTATAAAACACAAGCATTCTGGATTTTAGAGATGGCAGAGGGGAACTACTGCATGCTTTAAGTGTCTTTTGCTGAATTAGAGCAAGGGTGGGGGGGGTTGTTTGTTTTTTGGTTGGTTGGTTAGGGTTTTTTAAGTATTTCATGAAAAGCTGGTTATGGAATAATCTTCCTGCCTTCCTCTCTTTCTAATTTTTTTTTTAAATTTCGGTAGGCTTTTTTCTTATGTTATCCCTATCCTTTCCCATACCAGCATTCCATAATTATTTTTTGCATGGACTTAACCACTGAGATTCTTGATTCTGAGATATGCTGTAAGAGCTGTTGTCAGAAACCATTAAAGGCAATGGAAGGGTTCTTGCTGAATTTGATGGGCCTAGACATAAAGTTCTGCCTTCTAAACTCTTCACAGTCAAACAAATTTTGCCTTTGCGTGCTCATAATCGTTACCCATCCATTGCAATGGAATCCTGAGATCCTCTGAGTTCAAGCATCCATCAGCTAACTGTAACTGTAGTGCTGTGTAGGAATTGAGCTACTGATAGTGTGGGGGACAGAAAACATCCAGGTTATTTTGTCTTACATGGCTAAAGAAAGAACTAGAAGATGCCTGGGGTGTGAAAGTCTTTGACAGATACGCTGTTGTACTTCACATTTTTCGTTGTAATGCCCGGACCAAAGAAGCAAAACTTCAGATAGCATTGGCTGAAATTCCACTTCTCAGGTACCTCGAGCTGTGCAAATCACATACTGATATTTACGTATTTTACTGACTATTTCTTTACAATAACAAAAATGGTAATACTGTACTGTAAAGAAAAATGACACTGTTTCAGTGCTTGCATAGTGATTGATTAGAGCATAGAAATATTTGCTTTACTGTCATTGTTTTAAGCTGCTGCAGTGCTGACAGGCAAAACCAGAAAGTGTTGAATAGATGATCTTACAAAATATATTTCTCATGAAAAGGTCCCAGTTCTTTCTAATGCAGAATATGGATTGCAAGAATGTGTAGGAATTGGATATGTGTATCCCATATATAATATTGATGGGTTTAATAAGGAAAGCTATAAACAAGGAAGATTAAAGGCATTAATTTCTATCTGAATTTTCCACATTTCTACCTTACATGGCATAGAAATATTTGTACATGGAAGTTGGTGTGAGTTGCATGGATGTATCAGAGGCCTCTTTGGCTCTCTGAAATTTCAGCATAACCATTATAATTTGCTAAGAGAGTTGCATGATTTTTCAAATCACAGTTGAGGGGCCAGGAAAATCTGGATTTTTTTTTTCGCCAGGCTTCTCACCATGAGCAGGTTTTATTTAGAGCTCTGTCATTTGGTGGTTTTGTTTCTACTATGAGAATATCACTACTGCATCACATTTGTTAGGCATTTTAGGATAGCTTGATTAAAGAAAATTGTTTCTAATTAACTGTTACTCCATTGCCAGGTCAAATCTGAAAAATGAGGTGTCTCAGCTAGATCAGCAGAGAGGTGGATCAAGATACATCATGGGCTCAGGTGAAGTCTAAATATTCTCATGAATTAGAGGGTTTTTTCCTCCATAGCCTTTAAACAAAATTAATTGCGTCTTATTTTATTTGGAGGAGGCTGGGAGGAGAAACTGTTTGTGTTCTGCATCTAATTAAGTGAATGTACAAAAATTTATTGGAAAGTAACTTAAATAGTAAAGTTTTGGTCTGTATTGGCTCAGTAAGTGACCATGGACAGAACATTTGCTGCCACAAGAGTTTATCATAAATGTACATTGTTATTCTAGAGTGCTTAGCATATGTTTTAATAATTACTTATCACTCTGACTCTGTCTTATTTTTAGTTGCTTATTTATAACTTCATACGCCCTAGTGCTAACTCACTTGATTTCCAAACGCACAACATCACTTGGTTTGCTGTTTCTCTTGTAGACTATTCTGCCAATTATTAATTTGTGTTTTTCAGGTGAAACATTCATGGAAACACAGAATCGCATCTTGAAAGAAAAAGAACTTAAAATTAGGAATGCCCTGGAGAAACTAAGAAGAAAAAGGTCTTTACTTAGAACTCAGCGCAGAAAACGCGAGTTTCCAATTATCTCAGTAATGGGCTATACTAATTGTGGTAAGCAAAAACTCGTGAAATTGTTACACAAAAGAGCTTACATTGTCTAACTTTTAATTAGAAACTGTAGCCAGAATCTCATTTCAGTGTGAACAGGCTTCGTATTTTAATTAGTTTTTAAATTGTGTAATGAATATATGTCAATTAGGATATAGTTAGGGAAGCGAAGGATGCTCGTTGTAGTTAGATTCCCCCCCCAAGTCTTGAAGACATGTTTTAGAGAAATGCCTGGCACCTATTGTGCCAAAAAGATTTTATATATAGTGCTGGAGACTGTACTGCTAGTGTCCCTTCATATGAATCTTTCTTACTTGATCAGAATGGGTAGAGAAAAATACATGAGTGTTCAGACCACTGTGAAGGCCTGAGGCATAGGAGGAAAATTCAGGAGAGTTGGCAGTTGATCTGAGAAATGTGCTTAAGAAGCACTGTAGCTTTTCATTGATTAATAAATAGTGTTCTGAGATGCGTTCGTAAGAGAAAATAAATAAAGCTAAAGGCTTTTTTCTGGTGGTTTGTTTGGTTTTTTTTATAGCTTACACAAGTGAAATCATACACAAGGCATTAATAGACTTTGGACTAGACACTTTTTTCAGGTTACATTACCTTAAGACCATTTCATTTTCTTATTCAAATCTTTATAGAAACAAACTTACCTCGCACTAATTTTGTTATCAGTTATATACTCAAAGATTTGGATTTCACTGTATGTTTTTCTTAAATGTCATACTTCCCGTACTTTTAAAACTGAAGATTCAACAAAATATATATATATATTATAATTTCATACACATAATTGAAATACTTTAACTAGGGTATATACTGAGCACTTTAATGACTAAATTCTGTGAAATATTCATGGAGTTAAATAAATGTCTTTAGTATTATGTTCATGAGGAAATGCCCTATGAAAGCATAAACCTAGTAAGCTACATATTATTAGTGCTTCTGTTTATTGTTGGATTTAACAAGTAAATATTTAATTGTTTTATTTGACAACAGAAGCACTGAGGAGTGCATAAGTGTATGCTTCTAATGCTGTCATGGCAATGCTCTTCAGGTAGTCTTAGAGGTGAGATATGTGGGTAGGTCACTTTGCAGATCAGTTCAGTCTTTGATCATCTTGTGATTTCACAGCATAGCTTCCAGACCTGGCCTTAAATCCAATTCCAAGTTATAAAAGATAAGACTGTCTTTGGATTTTGTAACATCATATAGATAACTAATCATAGGCTAGATTTAAATTAGTGAAATAGATATGAAGGTATGTTACATCATACAACTCACCTGAGCCTTGCAAATTAATTTTTTACTTGAAACAAGCCATTAAAATCTTATTCTTTTTTTCTTTAATTAGGAAAAACTACCCTGATCAAAGCCTTGACTGGGGAAGCAGGACTCCAACCCAGAGATCAGCTATTTGCCACTCTTGATATTACAGCCCATGCTGGCTATCTGCCCTCACAAATGGCAGTTATTTATGTTGACACTATTGGGTTTCTAACTGATCTTCCACATAATCTGGTTGAGTCCTTTTCAGCTACATTAGAAGAAGTGGCTTACTCAGTAAGTATTTGACTGTAAAAATTGAGAAATCAAATTAATTTCCTTTTAGATAATCCTCACTCCTTCAGAAAAGGGGAAGTTAATTGGCATGCTGTTCTTAGTGAAGTATCTGGCTGACTATAGTAGCCTCCTAAGGTAATGAGGTAAATATCTTACCATAAGCCAATTTTCTGACACTTGAAATTATGCAGAATATATAGATATTAAGAGATTTCAGAAAGGGTTTATTTGGAGTATATGTGTCCTTCTCCATGATATGTAAACCAGATAAATCAGATTTTGCTGATCAAATATATGAAAACCTAAACAGTGCATCAGAATAAGTTGAGGCTAGCTTTCTTGAGAGTTAAAAATCAAATAAAGCCTCTGAAATGATCTGTTTTTAACTTAAGGTTTCCTATAGCTCTAAAAGTGGGTGACTGTGATGTGATGCAGGCAGCATGTAATAAACATCAATGTACTTTTCCAATCATTTTCTCATTAAAGGTAGTTTCCTGTGTTATAGCAAAGCATAAAGCTGCATATACACAGACATTTAAACACAAAGCCTGTATCATCAAGGGTAATGAAATTCAGTGGTAGCTGGATGCCAGAATGCTTCTGAGGATTGGACACCTCACCATGTAACAATAGGACGTTCAAAAGCTGGCTGCAACTGTCCTGTTTGTCTCTTATTCTGAAGTGTTAAATGAAAGGCAAGAAATTCACTTCTCGCTAGTTTTCAGAAGTTTGAAGCAGTATCTTGAGCAAAGGTGACGAAACATTTTGAATGCAAATGCTGAATTTGGCTGTTTGGTTTTTGTCATGGCAAACATGATCGTGTATGTACTTGAAACTGATAACTTTTGTATAAAGCTTTCTAAGTGAAGCACCAGTAATAGTATCTCAGGAGCTAAGAGTAAGGATAAGAAGAATCTTCTGCATTTTGAATGTAAAAACAAAATTACAAGTTACATAGGTGTATCTTCCCCATTTTTGAAACAGTTTTTCAGCCATTACTTTTCTAAAAGTTTTTTAGAGTTCACTCTTTTTCTTCTCTAGTATTTTTGAAGCCTTATTGTTACAAAGCCTTGGTACTGAAAAACTAGATCAGTTATTATTTGAAAACTGAATTCTGTAACTAGTTTGTTTCAGGGTTGTTGGAGGCAATTCATACTCACTGTGAAGTGAAAGACTAAGCTGCTACAGTTTTTCTTCCATCTTGGTACAAAAAACAGTATTGGTTTACCTGCCAGTGTATTATCTAATGGATAGGAAAGTATCTTATATGAATTAGCAATGCAAAAATAGTATAAAATCTCTACAACTTGGTAACTGGTGAGTTTCATTAAGTAACTGTCTTCTATGCTGATGTTTGCTAGGATCTGATAGTTCATGTGAGGGATGTTACTCATCCAGAAACCATCCTCCAGAAAGCAACCGTTCTGTCAGTTCTGAAGAATCTTAATCTTCCCAGCCATTTATTGGACTCAATGGTAGAAGTTCATAACAAAGTGGATTTGATAGAAAGGTAAGCAGGAAATGCTAAGGGTATTTAAACATTTCTTATGTTCCGGAAGCTTTTTAATTCTTAGTCTAGAAAAGAGCTCCCACACTTCTGAATACATTTAATAGTGTTTCTCAATCTTTTACATATGTAACTCTGGTCTTAAAAAGAATTCATTATCTTTTAATTACAAAAGAAATCACTTGAGTCACACAAGAAGTGGCCTCTGTAGGAAGGTGCCAGTATGAAGTAACACAATTAAACTGTCTGTGCTTGGAATATTTTCACAGCCTAATCTTCATGATCAAATGTGCTAGCAATTGTTACCTTTCAGGTATAAACCCACTGAAGAAAATGCCATAGCCATTTCTGCTCTACATGGACATGGTTTAGAAGAGCTGAAAGAAGAAATAGAGAAAAAAATTTTGGCAGCAACAGGGAAGAAGATTCTGACAGTTAACATCAACTTAGAGGGACCTCAGCTAAGGTAAATAACTTTGAATTGTAAGAAGGACCTGGAGAAATATGAAACTCTTAGTCTTGCATGTCTTAAAATTTCCAAATCATATCATACTGATCTTAATCTGTGTTAAGAATTACAGGGATAATTATCAAAGTTTTCTGACCTATTGAGAAAAAAATCCTCATTAGATACCCTGGAGTCTGCTTCTGAAAGTGTCCTTCACAGAGTTCTGTGTGTTACTGCAGTAAAACATAACTTCCTGAAAGACCAGGCCACTGGTCCTGGAGCCAGATTTCTGATAAAAACACAAATCTGAGGGATTTATGAAAACACTATACCCTATTTCCAAACAGGAAGTAGCAAATGAAAAGTTAAGTGAAGCACTTCATCTTTTAAAGTGTTAAATTGCCTCGCTTGGAACGTGTTGACCTAAAACAAAGATCACGTTTTCTGCAGTATGTCATACCTCTAAGATGCTAACATGCTTTTACTTCTACAGTTGGCTCTATAAAGAAGCAACAGTTCAGGAAGTAGAAGTCATGCCTGAAGATGGCACAGCCAGGGTGAAGGTGATAATCAGCAATTCTGCTTTTGGCAGATACAAAAACCTTTTTCCTAACAGTAAGATTTTTATGCCATGAAACTGCATCCTTTTCTAGGAAAAGAAACTGATCGCACTAAGAGGATGTGAAATGAAGTTAATGACTTGTTAGCCTGAGTGTTGAAGAGTGTATTTCTTCCCCAGTTGATGTTTTTGACGTATTTTAGAAATGGACAGTCTCAGAAAACTTCTGTTTGGAAACAATAAGAGCTTTGAGTTTCCTTGCACTTGCTGACAGAATGAGAGCACTAAATTTTTAATGTTGAAACAGTTGTTGGCTATAAGCTGTGGACCTCAAACACATGGAAATCACTGGATGGCATCTGAATTAACCTTCAGAAAAGTACTAAGTTTCTTATACAAATAAAGATTTTTACCCTATTTCTCAGGATAAAATAATAATTAAGGTCCTTGGAAAATGAAAGTTAGTGAACACAATGTTGTTGGCTGTATATAAAGAATACAGATAGGTTCATGCATTCTGCTTTAGTACATGTTTAAGTAAAATAACTGCCATGTCGTATTGCAGTGAAGCAAAAAAACATAGATTTGTATATTTAAAGCAATAAATAAAGTTAGCTGTGAACATCTTTTACCCATAGTTTTCTTGTATACAGTAATTTATCCACAGTACCTATTACTGTGTCAGTTCTTAAACAGAAAACATTTAAGGTATGGCAAATCATGTATTTTGTGTGAAATTATTTCACAAAGAAAAAAAAAGAAACAAAGCCTGATCCATTACCTGAGTTATGAATTACTATTGGGAACAAATGAAATAGTATCACAGAACATAGAAGCAAAACTATTTCAGTCCATATTACACAGAGATCAAGTTTTATTAGACAGAGTGACAAGCCACTTGAGGGTACAAAAGATAAGCAGAAAAACATTCTGACTACGTATAATGTAACACTTCATGCAGGTAGTGGCTCAAAAAAAAAAATCAAAACTGAATGACTGCTCAGTATGAAGTACATAGAGGTAAGAACAAGGATAAAAAACACTGTAAAAAAGCAATTAGAAAGTTCGCTTTGTAAATGGAATGTTTGGGTTTTTACTCCTATGTATTCTGCAATTGGAAGAGCTTGCATGAGGAGGTAGCATCCTAGCCTTTCATCCTGAGAAGTCTAGGGGGAGTTTGATCTGATGTCAAGTAGCAGCTGATTTCAAACTTCTGCAAATACCTACTGCAAACATGAACATCTTGTCAGACATCTGAACTCAGCTTTTGCATATAAAGTGCATCTAAAAAGTGAGGTATATTGATAAAGCTGCATAGTAAACTTTATACAATGCCTGGTTTTGTTTTAGTCCTGATGCTTGCCATTTCTCTTACCTTAATGATCATCTGTTAAAAATAGAAAAATAGGATTAATATGCAGTGGCAAACAACATAAAACCCTTAGTTTTTACATAAGCAAAGAACACTTATTGAGAGGAAAAATAACTATAGAGCTACTAAAATAGGTAAATAAAAGACCAGTTGTAAAACCCCAAATGAGCCTGCCAAGAATCTGTATTTTTAGAGCAGTCTGAGTTTAGATAAGGAATTTGTTTTATATGTGTTTATTTTCAATGTAAGGCATATGTTTTATTTGGTGTTGCCAAAATATTTCCTTACCACAGACAAAATTGTCTAGGGGCCTAGTTTTGGTATCTTTATCACTGCAGAACTGGCATGAATGATAAAAAGAATAAGTGTTCAAATACACATACCTCTTACAAATCAAAACTTTGTGACTACCCTGTTGGTAAAGTGGCTCACAACTGATGCTCAGCACACAAGAACAGTACGGCCACTTCTGGCTCTCTAATGTTAGTGCTGTATTGGTGTGCATATAAAAATCATGTCAAATAGGATTGTCAATACAGTATCTTTGATATATCAAAAATATTTTTAAACTGTTCCTTTTGTATATTTAACACAAACTATGAAAACAGACAAGTCAGTTTCACACCAATATAAAATACTGAGAATTGGGGTTGCAAGTGCTGCAGAGTATCTTCACAATTATAAGAAAGATTTTATCACAAAATAATTCATGCAGCTACTGACATATTTCTCCTTGCTCACATGTAAAATAAAATAGGATTAAGTTCTTGGGACTTTCAATATTGCCAGCTGCTACAGACTCTAAGCACGTCCAAGTAAATTGTACCTATGCCATCCTTCTGTAGAGACTTCAGCCAGGTCTGCCTGCTGTCTTTTCTGTGACAAGGCCTTGAAACCCTGGTGAGGTTGAGAGCAGTTTTCTTACCGAGCCTTTAAAACATCCCTGGTTTAAGTTAACTGGATCTTTATGGGATGCAGGATGTTTAAACCAGGACGTATTAAAATGCAGACAAAGCCTTTTCAGCTTTTCACAGATTAAGAAGCTGAGAATGAAATGCTATTTGTTCCAGCCCCTTTACTTTGACAGTGTAATGGAGGATTAATTTTTGTGTTGAGTTCTATCACATCTTTGACAAAATCATTGTTTTCTATGAAGTCTCCAGCAATGATGTTAATACATTCTTTTTTTGGTCCTGGATACTGCTGCTTTATCCAGATCTTCAAGCATGGTAGACTCTGAAGCGTCATTTTCTTCAACGATCCAAATGGGTGTACAAGAATATACCTTAAATTTTCAGTAAGGTTAATCCCCGCTACAAAGAATTTTTCTGAAACAAAAATCAGAAGGTGTCACATTAAATATTCCTTTGGGGAGAACAGAAACTGCATTAACTCGACATTGCATTAACTCCAGATCTCATTCCTCTGGGAATCATTAAAATACTAACTTTATAATCTTTCTGTATTGTTTCATATCCCTACACCTGTTTCAGTAGATGGTCTTCTCTTGTTGCAACTGCATGCTGTAGTAAATAGTTACTGAACCAAGCTCGGTTATTGAACCATTCCAGTTTAGCTAAGTTGATGTAAATTGTTCACTGCAGACTAAAGGTTCTCCCCTAACTAGTCCTCCTTTGTAAACTATGTTTGTTTCTGTAAGGGTTGCTCCCAAAGGCTTAGCCTTGCCCCGTGACGGACAGGAACACAGGGTGCACCTACCCGAGCGCTCTCCTCTGGCTGGGGAGCGTGCTTTCGAAGCAGTTCTCCCCGTCGTCACCCCACGCGTGCACGTCACAGAGCTGCGTCAGAGGTTATGGACTGAATTTCTTTCAGCTTAGACTACACCAGCGTGCTCGAGCGCTGCTATTTCCTGATGTAGCTACAGCCTTCATGCACCATCCTTGTAGGGGTTTCTTTTCACAGCAAGGCTAGCGTAATGCATTTCCCTCACCGTCGGCGCTGCCTAAAGCGGCAAGCACGGGACTGAGGAAGCAGTCTCCTGCCCGTGAGATGAGCGTGACAGCGCCAGCAAGCTGGTCGTTCCTGAGGGCTTCTTTTCCACAGGATCACACAAGTGAAGCAGCTGCCACAATTTATATAGTCTATGCACGTACATACACTGACGCAGGTATTTGCACTGCGCCAACCGTGAACGTTGCACTCGCCCAGGGGTGGGCCGAGCACTCAGCGACACGGGCACACCTCGTGCACACAGCATGCGCAAAGCTGTATCCCGTAACGCTACGATCGCCCGACGTCCTATATGTTTTGCATCGCTGTCTGTACACGCCCCTTGTTTCCTCCGACCGAGCCCCTGTGCCTACCTGGACGGCCCATCCGCTTCATGTGCTCTAAGTAATGGATAAGAGCGCGAGTGGCAGTTTTGTTTCCCCACCAGTATGGGATCGCGGGCCACAGCTCACAGTGCTCTTCCACTTGCACGTCCTCTTCGTACGAGACTATAAGCTGATGGCCACGCTGCCACATGGTCCGCAGTGTCGGCACCACCTAAGAGAAAGCGTGCCCAGGTTGAAGTCAACAGCACAGCAGCGTTCCCAAAGTTCAAATACTGACACGTGACATTGCCTTGGTAGAGAGGCATGGAGTCAGTTCAACTAAAGCTTTTAAGCGCACAGCCCGGTAGCTCGTTGGCTGGGTTACAAGCTGCAGGGGCCACAGCAGCCTGGGAACGTCAGCAGATTCCTCCTTTCCTCAAACAATTCAACTACGGTAAAGTACATAACTCAAGGTCTTACACCCGTGTAAGAAGAAACCATCTCTGTGTCGGCCCTCATGCACATACCGCTGCTGAAAATTTGTTGCGAGAGGAAGACACGGGCCATTTGGTGAAAGGAGGTAGGAGGGGGGCAAAGCCCTACAGCCAGCTGCAGGAATACAGACACAGAGAAGCAGGAATAATTTTGGCAAATGCCCCACATCGATCCAAATTTGTCGCTGTAGCCATCAAAGAAAACTGAACTGCTTAAGACTTTGTAAGACTAAATGTAAGTCTTCAAGAGAGATGTTAATTCTGATTTCTCTAAGTGGAAAGTTTCTGAAATTGGGTTTTGAATTGAGAGAGGGGAAGGCTTGAGTCAGAAGCCTTCTCCGACAGACAGACGGGCTGAAACAGGTCTGTTAAATTTAAGTAAGTGTTTCAATATGAAATGACATTTTCCAGTCCTCAAACGTTACCACTGGACAGAATCGAGGACCTTTGACTAGTTTTATTTGCAAAACCAACATATTTAACAGGTATTGTTTTTTTAAGAATGTTGTGGTTAAAAGCTGTCTGTTGCTTGTGAAAAGGAAATGGTGGCTTTTTGATGTTCCAGTTAACTTATTAATTAAAATAAAAGCCAAAGGCAATTGAAAATGTTTTATGTAAATCTTTGAGGAGAGCCAAGGGTTGAATGAACATGGGAATCGCTTTTAGTTCATCCAAGAGAGAGAGCGCGCAAGCCCCAATTAGGTCAGAAAATACTGCGAAATTAAGACACAAGCTACTCAAACTACAAAAATCTGTGGTTGACAGAAGCCTTTGCTTTACTCCAGCTGCCTTTCTAAAGCTGGAACCTCTTAAAAAAAAAAAAAAAAAAAAAAAAAAAAAAAGGGGGGGGGAAAAACGACAAAAAA